CCTCGTCAACACCACCTTCCTCTAACGTAAGGATCATGTGTCCTTGGCCCTCACTTGGCCTGAGATGGTACGGCCTTTCCAATTCTTCCCCTTATCTAAGTCCCTATGCCAGAAAGTGGTAACTGGCGTGGACTTCGACTCATACAAGACGACTTCTCTACTCAACGCATCATAGGTGATGCAAGCCTGTTCAGTCTTGTCAAAGAAATGCCCACCCAGGGCCTCTGGCATGGCACGATAAAATAACTGGACCAACTGGGTCTCAGTGACCCCATGGTCCGGGACGACTACCAAGTCGTTAGCGAATCGCTCCTTGAGGAGCTTGAGGAATTGGGAAAGAGGGGTGACCTTTGAATATGCAACCAGGTTGTTTTCACAACGGGCTGCGCGCGCAAGAGACCTGGCGAAACTAGCCGCTTCATCCTTGAGGGCCTGGAAGGCCACGATGACTTGCTCCTCAATCAGGATGTGTCGTAAATAAATATAACTGTTGACACTGGCTTCCCAGTTGTCAAAGTTTTCTTCCTTCTTTCCCCCGTACGCATCTGGGAACTTAAGTTTCACTGGGTCCTTACGCGGTCTGGCCTCTCCCTCTACAACGGCTATAGCTTTGGCACCCTCAATGGCGCCCTCACAGAACTTCCCTACATTGTCCCTCAACTGCTTTACTTCGCCCCCAATGTGGGTGACGATCTCGCGCGCAAACTCCCTAAACCCTGACCGCATGAGACTCAAGGCTACATCCTGGCTCCAACTGGCCTGGCGCTCCTCTATCCAGGCCTTGCTCAACACTTCTAGGTAACCCAACACCTTGTCCCATTTGGCCTTGTCATCTGGTTGGGCCAACATTTCTTGCCTACACGCCTGCACCTTTGCTACCTCTACGATCATTTTGCTCACTTCCTCTCTCCTCCTCTTCTTCTCCTTCTTCATCCTCAGCTTCCACGTCAATTTCTACTCCTCCCTTTCTCGCCGTTCCATCGGATCTGTCATTGCTGCTAGCTCACTGGCTAGCGCAGCCCTCTCATCCCTGTTATGTAAGATTCTGCCTCCTCGTCTTCTCCCAACGATAAATTAGCAACCCACTCACTTATTTTTCTCTCCATCTCTGTGTCTATATCTCTCTTCGTGCCACTACTCCCCTCTCTACTCTCAATACGCATTCTTTCTTTTTCTTCTTCTGCTGCTGCTTCTTCTTCAGCAGCCTTCTTCCTTCTCTCCATCTCCTCCTCCAATTCCTTCATCTTCGCCGCCTTCTCGTCTGCGATGGCCTTTAGCTTCGCTTGCTTCTCGCGCTCTTTTCTCTCCCTTTTCTCTTTAACTAAGGCGGCCATCTTCTCTTGCTGCTCAGGGGTGTATGCGCTAGTGCTCTTCCCACTACGCAAGTCCACCATGGTGAAAAGTGCACAACCGGGTAAGTGGTTCCAACCCTCACCACGTAGACTCTGACCCCTGACTGACAAACCTATAGACTCACTCTAAGACTCACAGAATGCGGACAAGGACCCTGTCAACTATGGTCTCTAGCCTAGACCTAACTATGGCTGTCAATACTAGACCTTTGCTGATCAGGAGGCATTTAAGGAGGTCCCCCAAACTCCGCAAGAATTCTTTAATGTCGCAAACAGGACGACGTGATCAGCTTGGTCTGGCCTGTTGCATCAGCCCACAACTCAGCCTTTCGGGCCTACCGTGCCACACCGAGCAGCCCGCCGATCAATACCGGTTAGGGTTTGACCTCCGGGACAGTCGAGTCGTCAGACACGGCCTCTAGCGTTACTAGGTCAGGTAGGGGTTTTGGGTCAACAAGGCCCTCAACACTTAAGACTGCCTGTTGTGTCAGCCCACGTCTCCGCCGTTCAAGCCCACCGTGTCACGCCCAATCCGAGCCCCGCCGGTCAGCACCGGTCCTTGGGAGGGTTAGGCCTCCGGGACAGTGAGATTAGACACGGTATCAGCTCTACTAAGTCAGATAGGGGTTTCGTCATACAGGCCCTATCCTTCATCCACAAAGTAATATCACCTAGGACAGAAGAGACTCGATGCAGAAAGAATAGACAGACAGACTGTACTCAGCAAGTACCAAGGGGTATGTGCACATCCATAGGGCAAGGGATAGGCTGAGGGCTTGGCGAGATGTTACCAACTCCAGCTCGGTCACAGTCTTGGTCAACGCCGGTCAACGGCTTTGGTCAACGCCGGTCAACGCCGCTATCAGCCCCTGGTCAACCTCCGGTCAACTCCGGTCAACGCCGATCAACCCTCTTAATCAACACTCCAATCAGCTATGGCTGCCGGTTTCTCTTTCCCTTACCAACCTCCTCCTTTGCTTCGCCTTCCTCGCCTCCTTTC